TCACCACTTCCAATGCAATTCAATTCAAAATTAAATAAAAATCCGTTACAGGTTCCTCAGGGCTCGATATTAGGCCCTTTGCTGTTTTCGATATATGTCAATGATATTGGTAACAATTTGTTGTGTGATTTTAGCTTATTCGCGGATGATTTGAAAATATATGCAATCATCAAAAACTCCAATGATACTGCACGTCTACAAAGGGATCTAGTCACACTATCTGACTGGTGCGACAATAATATCATGGTTTTAAACCATGACAAATGTCATGTAATAAATTTCAGTAGAAAACAATCACCGTCGACTCCTGCTTATTTACTTAATGGGAAAATTCTTAAAGTGTCATATTTGATCAAGGACCTGGGTATATTTTTGGATAACAAGCTTTCTTTTAAATCCCATCATGAGCACATAGTAGCTAGAGCAAACAGAATGCTAAGATGCATTAAAAGGTACTGCAAAGATTTTAATAACTTACGTACTTTGGTAATTTTGTATACTACATATGTACGCTCCATTCTAGAGTATGGATGCGTAGTGTGGGCTCCCTATTACAAAACATACAAGGTGATTGCGAAATACATGCAAAAAAAAATGGGGAATAGCTCACAATATGATTATGTCACTGGGTAAAATTCACGGTCCTAAGTAGTAGCAGTGTCTAGAAAAAAATATTTGAAATTAAATGTAAATTGTTGTACGCGCCGCTGGACTATTTTGTGACCTACATAATTACTACAATGAATGGAATAGAGCGAGTCGGATTAAAAACCAAAAAAGTGACTTTATCAGGCACTTTTTTAATCCCAACGTGAAAAACACGAGAAGGGCCAGTTAGCATCGAGCGGTCGGTGAAATCGGTTTATGGTGGAGTTTTCCCATGCAGATTGTGTCGATATGGTAATTGGTGTGGGCGAACATTTGCATCAGTGGTACAGCAACTCCGAGATCATGGTACCTTCAACTTCAAACTCACGATCGTGGCCGTGATAGGACAGAAAGAAGAAGTTGGATTTTCACAGCTTGTAGTGCATCCTACATTAAGAGAATACGGCCACATCCATACCATGTTGACAAAGTAAAGGGTTTGGAGCCCGCTGATTGTCCACGTTGTGTAACTCACTTTTTGTCCGATCAAACTCCACATGCTCGTCCACAAATACGATTGCAAGAGACGGTTTTCGATAAATGTGTATCGGTTCGATGAAACAGTTCGTTTGTGGAAATCAACAGTGTCCAGAAATTATCGAAGAGCTTCAACGAGTGAAAGTGGTTTTTACCTATCAACACACCTCTTGCAACGCTCTGACGCCTGTATAGTCAAGGACAACATTTTCAACATTTCTTGTAAAAAGGTAGTAGCATTCTAAGTTGCTCTTATTTCTGTTCCAATAAACAATCTAAAATCGTTGTGACAAGGACCAAACATCCATCAGAATCAAAATTACCAAAAAACTTTCACATTGACCTTTAACGATGATGAATGAGTAAATGAATGAACGAATGATAAGCAGCAAAAAGTCGGTTTTACTTTTAATTGAAACTGAAAGTGTTTAGGTCGTTTTTATTCGAACGTGTTTCCAACTCTGTTTACAAGGTGGCTCAGTGCCTTCGTATTGAGGGTGGTTCATGGGGGTTTTGCCCCATTCGATTTTTAATTTGTTTTTTCTATATTTCGGCTCTACTAGGGTGAGGGATGCCGTGGTTAAAATATTTGCACTTATTTCGCAGTCACCCTGTATGTTGATAGACTTGAGTTAGTTCAAATTAAATTTGTCAAGTATATATCTCATCGTCTTCCTCTCAATATCTGTAAATCTCCTGACATGTCAATGACTTATTTAGGGTTAAGTAAATTAAATGATCGCAGAACCTATTTAAAAATCTGTTTTATGTATAAAATTTTAAACAATATTTGTGACTGTCCTGGAATTTTAGATCTTATTCAATTTAATGTGCCTCAATACGTTATTAGGAAATCTCCGTTGTTCTATATTGGTACATGTAATCAGTTTTATGCGCTATTCTCTCCTTTAAATGGAATTCTTGCAAGTTGTAATAGTGTTTGCTACAATGTTGATTTCTTCTGTAATAAGTTTTCCTCTTTTAAACTGTCCGTTCGTTCTATAGTGTTAGATTAACAAATATTATGTAAAGGTAAAAACCGTTAATAAACTTTATTATTATTATTATTTCAAAATTTTTACATGTTGGGATAATTATTTGAGTTTATAGTTCTATAAACTCCTAACAAAACCATTTATGTGCTGAACCTTTTTTTGCTCCTCTTTCCTCTTCTAGAAAGAGTCTTCGACGTTCTCGTTGGTTCTTGCTGAACGACATTGTAAGTAATATTTTTAAAATAATATATATGTAATATACATAAAATATTTGCTATATTATATTGATTGACATGCAGCACCTAAACAAAAACACGTTCTCGCAAAGATGATTAATTATATATATGTATATATATTTTTTTCATACATGTTATAACCTACCTATAATGCTTTGCCCACCCATCAAAAATCACTGAAGTAAAGGATACAGTTTCACCGCATAATTTTCAAGGTAATGACATTTAATTAATAACTTACTTATTTACTTAAGCTCTGCCAATCTCCACTATATCTTAGTATGAAAGTTCCGGAAACAGAATATTTATTGCTTGGAAGATACCGACAAAGAACATTTAGAAAATTGTTAGTACAAATAAAATTATTCTCGATGTTGACACCCTAACAGAAACTTTTGCAATATTAGTACTAACTAAATCTACAACGTCATATTTTTAGAAAAAATGACGAATCTTTAAACGCATCGAGTATAGTACAGATATTACCTACATACCGCTGGAGTTTACATAGGCCTCTTTCGGACATTGCGAAAGTTCCGTTGAAGTTTACATGTGAGGATTAAAATAGTCCCTCTCTCCGATGCAGTTTACATTCGCCAGAAAAAAAGGGTCAGGTCAGGTCAGGCCAGGGGCACAGATCCACCTCGGACGTGGCATGTACATCACAGTCGCAGTCACCGATCGCCCCAATATCCCGAAATTGTTACTCTCTGTCTAAATTGGCCGTCCCCGTCTTTGACCTAAATGTAGCGCCAATGGTCGGTGACAGCAACCCGACGTCGGATCCCCCAGAATTGCTTGTGATGCCCGGTAAAATTATAGGTAATAATGAGTAATACTGCATTAAATACTCAAACGTAAGCTCCCACGTAATAACGTAAGTACTACACACAGACAGTTAATCATCAAATTTTCGTTGTTGAACCTTCGGCCGTTTTGGAGGACGTGACAGGGAAAACGCAGTTGGGGGAGGGGTCGTCACCTCAAACTGTGATCTAACGGGAAGTAGTAACAAAGATGCGAATCTAGAGTCAAAAAGTGACTTCTGCGAAAGTTTAGCAGTTACGTACCAGGATGATGCACGATTACTAAAGTTATCAAGGGTTATGTTCACTGTTTACTACTGCAAGATGCCTAAATTAGATTTATGAGATATTGTCTTGTAGCTTGCCCTAAATGCTGAGAGGCGTACACTGTCACCAAGTTGGTCTCGTTCGTAATTTTACTGTAATTTGTTGCAGGAAGCCACGGTCAAACTGGTTTGTTAGGAGTCAAAAAAAAATTGTAGATTTAGCGAGATGTGCAGATCAGAAAGATGATGAGCAAAAGCCATGGAATCACCCTCCAAAAATTTAATCAAACTTATTAAAGAAAGACTAAAATTTTCTTGTAGTAACTGAACAGTTCGAAGATTACACGAAGATTACGAAGTTAAGTGTGTTGGACACGTACACATCGTCTTTGTGAAATACCTTAAGATTTTACGAAATTCATAAGTAAATTAGGTGATACTTATGTCAGTGGATAGTGCAAAATTTATTATGTATTGTGAATTAATCAGTGCCTTTGTGCAATAAGTACCAATTGCATAAATTCTTGATAAAGTGTTACTGCTTATCTTTTGCGAATTCTTTCATTTTTTGGTGAGTAGTTCGTTAGCTCATAGCATTTACACTTTTTAAATCAGTATTCTGATTACTTGTGTTTCGGATTGCTTTAATTCTCTAATTTTTCCCTTTCACCGCAAGCGTGAAATTGTATCCCTGGTTTTTTTTCACCTCCTTATTGCAATTACAATGAGCTTGTTAAATTGTCGCATTTGTGGAAACACCTATAAGATTGACTGTCTCAATATATCTGCAGCCGAGGCTAGAAAAATTCATACAAAATCTGGTTTGACATGGACATGTAAAACTTGTACTAAGCTGGGTGATGATATAAATGGCTTAAAGACAGTTATAGTACAGCTTCAAAATGATATCAAAGCTTTGCAGACTACATTTTGCAATCAAGGCACTGTTAATTCTCCTGTCCCTCTGATGGAAATTGAAAAAATTGTGCAGGAGGTTACTGAGTGTGAAAAGCGTAAAAGTAATATTATAATTTATGGCAGTAAAGAGAAAAACGTGAGGTCAAATAAAGATCAACTGGACCTGGATATGACAACAGTACCTCAAATCCTTGCAGCCGTGGATTGTATGATTGCTCCAGAAAACATTATCAGATTGGGAAAATTTGATCCTACAAATGAAGAATTTCGACGTCCCATCAAAGTGATACTACCCCAAGCTACTGATGTTAATCCCTTTTTACGTTCTGCTGCTAAGCTAAAAACTTCTGCTAATTTTACTAACATTTCTATCTCACCGGACCGTACACCTATGCAAATTCAGATCTATACAGATGTAAGAGCAAACCTAGATGATCGTTTAGCCAAAGGAGAACAAAATCTTAAAATTAAGTAATTAACTTCAAATTATCATGCAATAATGAAAACCTACCACTATTTACACAATTCAAAACCTCAAATGACCTTACAACAATGTGATTAAAATACACATTGTTATCAAAAATATATAAAACTAAAACTATGAAATGTGAACAACAAATAAAATAAATTCGAATACAAAACATTTAACGAATTCTATAAAACGTGTTCTATATGCGTCGCTAGTGATTCACTCACCAACACCTTTTTAATCGAGTACTCTTGTATCTCACTCCCGGTTTCACTCACTGGCAGGTAATATGCATACCTTTTTAACTAAGCGCCTTGTCGTACCACTCGCGGTTTTCACTGTAACAACTCGCACAATACCGTCTTGACCTGGGTGAACATCGACGACTCGGCCTAATTTCCACCTTAAAGGTGGTAAGTTGTCTTCCACTAAGACAACCATGTTTCCTGGAGTGATGTTGGGTGAAGCGAATTGTTGACCCTTGGGACGCTGCTGGAGCTGTTGAAGATATTTCCTTTGCCATCTGTGCCAAAAATGCTGCCGTAGGTTCTGAACTCGCTGCCAACGGCTCAACCTGGTCAGAGGGATTGCTCTGACGTCATCTTCGATGGGTGCCATTAAAGGGGCCCCAATTAAAAAGTGACCCGGTGTCGGCATCCAGGTCGTGAGGATCGAGGGAAAGAGGAGTGATGGGTCTCGAATTTAAGCAAGCTTCTATTCCCGTTAGTAATGTATAGAATTCTTCGTAAGTTAATGAAGCATCGCCCATAACTCTATGTAAATGGTGTTTTACGCTTCGTACCGCTCTCTCCCAAAGACCTCCAACATGCGGCGATCGTGGTGGCATAAAATGAAACTTCGTTTTATTGTTAGAAACGTGCTCTGATAAATTTGACCGAAACGATTCAAACATTAATTGTTCCGCACCGGTGAAATTAGTACCATTGTCGGAGAAGATCTCGGCGACATTACTCCTACGCGCAATAAATCTTTTCATACAACCTAAGAAACTATCTGACGTTAAATCTCCGACTAGCTCAAGATGTATAGCCTTAGTCGAGAAGCAGATGAAAAGTGCAATTTTTCGAGTTTTACCTTCTTCAATCAAAAACGGACCCGCGTAATCAACTCCCGAAATATAAAACGGTCTCACTGGTTGCAGACGCTGAACTCGTCGATTACCCATTTTTTTGATTAGAAAGTTTCGGTTTGGCGCGAGTGCATTTAACACAAGAGTGGATTAATTTTCGTATCAAGTTTCTACCACCCACGGGCCAATATGTCTGTCGAACCGCACATAAGGTTGCCTGATTGCCCGAATATAGTTCGCGTTCATGGGTATCTCTTAATATTAATCGTGTTACATAATGGTGTTCAGGCAAAATTATAGGAAATTTATTATCATATGCAATTGGTGCGTTTTTTAATCGCCCGCCCACTCTTAATAAACCTTTTGAGTCTATGAACGGATCTAACTTCAAAAGTTTACTGTGTGCTAACCTTTTGTTATCTTTGACTTCATCTTGAAAAAATTGGTCTAAAGAGTTTAGACAGTACTTCCCTCGCTGTCGGAAACTTGACGACTGCATGCCTATTGTGTTTTTTTTCTCATTACATTTTTGTAGTGGGAATTTAAAAAAAAATTGCGATGACGTCATCAACATTTTTGCAAGGACACGTATATCAGTTGGGATAGATGTAGTGTAATACTAAGAATAAAATTATTATATTCTCAAATTTTCGGGAAAATGAATTGGGTCGTTTTGAATATTGATTTGTAATAATCAATAAAATAACGAAACAATTTACTCACGTATACGTATCAAAGGCAACTGAAAATCGTGTATGTATAAACATTCTTAATTTAAGATGACAGGCGTAACAGCATACGTGAGAGTCAAACAGAGAAACTGTAAACAAAACGACCATCGGTTTTATTGCTTCGACTTCCGCTTATTATATAAAACATTGGGTTTTATTTTCATTCTTGACGGTGAAATTCACAATTGGTTGATTATAAACATGTCTATTTCACATTCGCGGAACCAAGTGAGCGCATAAAACAAATGCAGGTCTGTAATGTTAAAGTCGATGTAAATAAGCGTGCTACCCTTATGTTTCAACCGAGTTTTTCCTTTAACAAATTTTGTGTCTACCAAATTGGGTTGGTTGGGGTGTAATACTAATAATAAGTGTTGCCTTTAATTTAATCAATAAAATAAATTGACTTCATTAATTTTTTTGAACCACCTCTTAAGAAAATCTAAAAAATATGAATGGAATGATAAATCAATAGTACAAACTCATCATATTTTTTGCATTTTAGATAGGATTTATTCAGCAAAATTTAAGGGTGACGTCATCAATTTTTTTAGGAGGGATGAACAAATACATTTTGAACAAAAGTTTACCATGCTTATAATAACTTTAAAATATTCCCAAGATTTCAAAGCATTCGGTTTTCTAATTCCTGATTAAATCGATAAAATAAATTCACGCCTTCATTAATTTTTTTGAGTCACCCTGCATATGCAAATCCAAAAATATGATTAGAATGATAAATCACAAGTACAGACTCATCATATTTTGTACATTTTAGATACGATTTATTCGGCAAACTTTTGAGCTGACGTCATCAGTTTTTTGTAGAAGATAACCAAATATATTTTCACTAAAAATTTATTATGCTCTTTATAACCTTAAATCATCTGCAAGATTTCAAAGCATTCGGTTTTGTAGTTCCTGATTAAATCAATAAAATAAATTTACGCATTCATTAATTTTTTTGAGTCACCCTGTATATACAAATCGAAAAAATTTGAATGGAATGATAAATCACAAGAAGAGACTCACCATATTTTGTACACATTAGATAGGATTTTTTCAGCAAAATTTTGTGGTGACATCATAAATTTTTTAGGGGGGACTACCAAATACGTTTTGATCAAAAATTTACCATGCTTATGATAATTTTAAAATATCTTCAAGATTTCGAAGCATTCGGTTTTGTAGTTCCTGAGTAAATCAGTAAAATAAATTTACGCTTTCATTTATTTTCTTGAATCACCCTGTATATGCAAATCCAAAAAATATGAATGGAGTGATAGATCACAAGTACAGACTGATCATATTTTGTACATTTTAGATATGATTTATTCGGCAAATTTTCGAGCTGACGTCATCAAGTTTTTGGAGGGGATAAGCAAATATATTTTGACTAAACATTTATTATGCTCTTTATAACCTTAAAACATCTGCAAGATGTCAGAGCATTCCGTTTTGTAGTTCCTGATTAAATCAATAAAATATATTTACGCATTCATTAATTTTTTTGAGTCACCCTGTATATGCAAATCCAAAAAATATGAATGGAGTGATAGATCACAAGTACAGACTCATCATATTTTGTACATTTTAGATATGATTTATTCCACAAACTTTTGAGCTGACGTCATCAAGTTTTTGGAGGGGATAAGCAAATATTTTTTGACTAAAGATTTATGATGCTCTTTATAGCCTTAAAACATCTGCAACATTTCAAAGCATTCTGGTTAGCAGATTAAAAATTAAATTTCAAAATGTTGTTTTATACTTTTGATTTTTTTTCCAAAAATCTGGACGTTTCGGGTGAAAAGTCGATTCAGAGTTGTAAACTACATGTGTAGGACTATGTTATTTTATACAATTGAAAACCCATTTACTATGTACAATTTTGAAGTGACGTCATCGCATTAGTGGTGGGGATGATTAGACAAATTTTGGTTAGCGTTTTATCATCTACATGATATTCTTAATATAAGTACAAAATTTCACAACAATCGGTCGAGTACTTTCGGAGATTATCTGTCTAATAAAAATCCGGGACAATAGACGGACAGACGGACAGACGGACGGACAGACGGACAGACGGACGGACAGACGGACAGACAGACGGAAATGGGAGACCTATTTCTTCGTCTTCTAGGGGTCATGAAAGATCGAGAAAACGTAAAAGTAGAGAGTCGGCCGACGGACTCGATTACAATACTTCCTTTGCTTACGCTCGGGAAGTAAAATCAAGAATTCCTCTGGATATGACCGACTTTGAATTTCCTTGATTATAATTGTGGTCGCTACAGTTAGTTCGTCAGGCGTTAATACCCCAGTAGCTACTTTATTCTTTTTTAATTTATTAAAAAAACGCATGCAATAAGCGATTACTCGCTGTAATTTGTAAAACGAAGAATATTTTGTAAATACTGACAATTCGGACTCAGTTTTAATAAGATTAATAACCTGTGGCCTGCGTTGTTCCACTAAATCGGATCGCAGTTGGAAATGAGTTTGAGGCCAATATTGTTAACTCGTTGTCAACCACTGCGGACCAAACCACCAGAGTTTAGACGTACGTAGTTGTTCAGGAAATGCACCGCGTGACACGATATCAGCAGGATTATCGTTGGAACGCACGTGGTTCCATTCTTCATAAGATGTGTGTAATTGTATTTTAGCCACGCGATTTGCAATATATTGCTTCCAATTATGTGGGGATTCTGCTATCCATGAAAGTACTATGCTTGTATCTGTCCACAAAAATCGTTTTTGTATTGGTATATTCAAAATTTGGCTTACCTTGACCACCAATTCGACTAATAAGACTGCTGCATTCAGCTCAAGACGTGGTAAACGGACTGTTTTCAATGGCGCAACACGCGATTTAGCACAATAATTTTACACTAATTTCTTGTGTTGAATTTATTGTTCTGATGTAAACAGATGGTCCATAGGCCTTTATAGAAGCGTCCGCAAAACCATGAATTTCAAACATGGAACCTTGATCAACAGACGATATTACTTTACGAGGTATTCGAAACTGATTCAATTCAGGAAGCCCAATTATTAATTTTTCCCACATCGCACGCACGTCCTCTGGCACTGGCTGATCCCACTCCAATTTGTGCGACCAAATGATTTGTAAAAGGATTTTGAATTTTACTATGATAAGATTTATTAATCCTAACGGGTCAAAAATACTAGCAATTGTCGATAAAATTGAACGTTTTCTTACTAGATCTTGTGACTGTACAACCTAAATTGTTCTTTTTGTAACTTAGCTAGTAGGTCGTGTTGCTTGAGGAAGTGATATTCTCAGCGTACTGTTAAATAGAATTCTTTAATATCAAATAATTAACCTAGAATTGTTCAAGGTCCTACTAATACTGATATACAGTAAGTGTTCACCAAATGTTTTCACTGTTCATTGTCTAGAACTTAATTTATTAAACTGTTAATTTTATGCATTCTTTTACTTCCTCCCGACCCGGTGAATACGGAACTCACAGTTTTGGTAAGCCGCCCGCGTAAGTAAATAGCGTAGGTCGAGTGCAGCCCGTTAAGTTGAGTTGTAACACTTGGTGCATCGGCCTAATTTTTTTCCATGTTCACATTTCTTTGGGTCAGAATGAGGATTTTGTTTTCTATTATCTGAGTAAGAGTAAGTGGTGGAACATATTCTTATCTGCGGTTGTTTAGGTTATCGTTTGGAACGAAATCGGTGGAGAAAGTTGGACTGGAACGGCTCCGTACTGGTCTTGGTGAGGTGAGACGAGGAATACACTCCCGCCTGCTTGTCAATTTTAGGAACTCTGGATCCACCTTGTCTTAGCTCGGTGAGTAGCTTTTGTTTTCGATCTACTGACCTGATCGCGGTGCATATATCTAGTCGAAGGAATAGGATAGTTGATCTAAGTTTTGTGTTTTCTTTCCGGTTAAGTTCTCGAATTAATTGGAATTAGGGTTGAGATCGACTGGTTATTAGGGTTTTGGTTTTAAATTTTACCTTTTCAATGGCAAATTCATGGTTGGAGGTGTCCTTATTGGACCGGGAGGAGCTAGCTTATGAGCTGAGTCTCCGCAATACGGAGGTGTCGGCGGACGATACGCTAGAGGATCTCGTGGCAAACCTTCAGGGGTTAACCCTGGCGGAGGCACAATCGTCGCCTCGAACACCGCAACGTCAAATGAGTAACCCTGGGGAACCCGTGAACGAAATCGTGGCGTGCGGCCGGGGGTTAGACGCATTATCGCGATTGGTGAAGGCGGTCGTCACATGCCAGTCGCGGACGCGTATCAAAGTTTCAGACGATACCGATCGTCAGTTGGTACAAACTTTGCAACAGAGATTATCCGAAATACGGAGTACATTCT